AGTAGACTGCCTTTGCAACTGCACTCAAATTCCAGTGAGTCTACGTTGATGCAGATTTGCTATTTAAGGGCTAAACAGTCCACTCACTGTACCCAGTATATGGTTTGGGCTGGCCCTTAATAGGGCGGAGCCCTGAGAATGCACAAAGGGAAGGTTTTGTGAGTAGGGGGAGTACTTAGACGGGCTTAGGATTGGGCCTGTTTAACACTTACAGAGGTAACGTGCACCAGGAGATGCCCTCTTTAACCTCCTGTTGGGGGTATGCTAGGAGGTTCTCACAAATCCAGTCATCATTTATCAAAAGCCCTGTCTATTTTTAGCAGGTATATGACATACTATAGGGACCCCTTTTCTGTTGCTTCATTCTGTCTCTATTATCCCATTCTGCAGTATATATTAGATCAATCTCTAACTTTATGCTCTCTCTGATTTTTCTCATTATAATAGCTTCATCTGTTCTCGCTGATGGAGTCACAGCTATTTTGCTGAACACCTTTGTTTATAGATGTTGGAGCTGGAAATAAAAACTATCATCCTACAGAGGGCTGCATTCAAAGACACCCCAAGAAGTACAGTGAAAAAATTATGCAGCAGGCTAGTCGCATAATTGATTTTGCTGAAAGTTCATTGCAAATAAAACTCAAATTGGTATTCAATAATTTGCATGGCCCCCACGTGCGTGTATGCATGCCTGACAATGACAGGCAATAGAATGTAGAATTCTAGCTGGCTTATGTACAGTAGTCTTATTTGTGGCCTTATGCTTGTTTGGCCACACAGAGAATGCAGCATGTAGACAGGGTGTCTACATGCTGGAAGTCACATACAAATCTTGGCAAAAACAGGGTTCCTAGTGGCTGCCTCGTCCGAGATTTCGACAGGGCATCCTGTCGAGTTGGAACAACCTTTGGCCTTGACCAGCACACGTGAATTCCAGGAAGATTTCGACAGAGCATCCAGTAGTGCACGTACATAGTGCAATGTGGAGTCTATAAAAGCAGCCTGAAATTAATTGACAGTTGGGAAAAAGCTGAGATTGTCTGATGAGATGTAAAGCGCTGGGATACGTTGTACTGAGTACAGCATGTGGATTTGATCTGTAAAATAAAAGCTTTTTTCCCCCGTCCTTGTGGTCAGATGAGATAATCGACTGAAGGCGTCTTGATTTTTGAGATTCTACCATTTGAGCCCCAACAGGGGCATGCTCCTAATGAGACAATGGATGGCGTCCTGGGGTATCTCCCCCCAGATCTGGACCAGGGCATCACTGAGCTCCTGGACAGTCTGAGGTGCATCCTGCAAATTACTTTGCACCTTCTTTGTAAATCTGTGCATACAAAGACCCTTATACCTGTTAAGATATACGGACTTGAAGATTTGTATGAACTTTTTTACTGGTTTAAGGCACAATAAATGATTACATAAATTAAAAGAAAGTAAATATATATACAAACAGCAGACAAAAAATTTCACCAAAATACAGTGTTTCTGCTGAAGTTCTTTACAAACTTTTAACCGAATCAGACCAAAGGTTTGTTTTTGCATCATTTATTTGTCAGGCAGAAGAAAATTATTTACGAATTACAATAAGTACCACATTGCAAAGATCTACTTATATGTATAAGCCCCAGTGTAATCACACTGGGTGTAAAGTTTAAATCATTAATCAAATTAGATGCATTTCTGTTGCCAGAGTTAGAAGGTAGAATACTGCTAATTCAGAGGTAAAGTCATGTTTCCGTGTGTCAAAAAAACTGTGCACATTATTTCTGAAACTTATTCATGTAAGTGAGGTATATTTGTTCTTGTAATATTTAGCTTAATTTTGTTGTAAGTATGCAGGCTTCCATAAGCATTTACTTTAGCCTAAGCTTTTCAGTCACAGTATTGTTTATGTAAACACAATATGTCTTTTTATCTGTTAAAAAAAATATAATAAATATCCTAAACCTAACTAACTCGATTACAGATGGATATTGAGTTATATAAAAAACTGCCTAATAGTGCTGCTTGAAATGTCAACACAGCTGGCTTTGCAAGTACAAGATTTACATTTACTCTCCATTAATGCAAAGTAGAGAGTTAATGATGAAAAAATCTTCAGCGGTCTAATGTTTTTCTTACTACAAAATATATATTTAAGCCTTTTATTGGTTATATGTAAACTAACCTATCACTCCAATCACATAAGTTTATCTTTGACCTTACAGAAAATTCGTGGATCAATTCAAATCAAATAATAGATAAATTCTCTATAATCAGTGTGACAGAGTATGATTACAGCGAAAATGCAACTGGCATTTATCTTCTATCTTCAAAGCAAGTGACACTTTTATGTGATAAAGCAAATCACCATGGAAATCATTATGGCCAGTTATGTCAGTTGATCACTAAATAGCATGACTCACTGTCTGGGTCAGAGGTGGGTAGTTTACCCAAGATGCTTTTGTAGTAAGAGTAGCAGTACTTCATCATATTTCTCTTGAAGTAAAAGTAAAAAGTGGTCATCAAGAAGTTAAACCAATTTAGAGTAAAATAGTAATCAATAAAAAGTTACTCAGTTACTGAGTGATCAACTGACCCATCACAATGAAAAGATCCACTCCATCCACATGAGGCACTGCAATGCCTCATGGAAACAGCTCAACGTGTTCAATGCGTTCAAAGACAAACTGATTTTTAACATTATAATTTCCGGACATCCTATATTTAAAAACATTGGAAATTATGTTACAAGAGGTAAATAAGACAATCCATGTTTGTATTAAAAGAATGTTTAAGCAGAGGGATAAGTTAAAGGATTTATTAATGTTTGAAACTTACAAAGCCAGAACTAATCTTAAGTATAGATGTGTGTAAGTTTTGGGAATTATGGAATGAGCTAAACCATGGAATAAAGAGGTCTTACTCTATATTTGTTTTCAAGAAGACTTTAGGATCTAAAATTATAAAAGGTTACAATGAAATTTAACTGAGTTTGATTTTTCAGTTTAAGTTATGCGTTTTTTAATTATGTATTAGTACCAATGTTATATTGTGAATCAATGTAATGATGGTACAGGATAGGCTAAATTAAGCCTTGGGGCTTCAGACTGTTCCTTTTTCAGTTGCTCTGTGATTGATTCTTTTGTAAAAAATATTATTTAATTTTTTTGTTAATAAACCGAAATAAAGCATTCATTCATTCATTCATTCATTCATATTAGTTAAGCTAACTGATTTATGGCAGCTAATTTCAGGTGACTCCTCCCCACATCCTACCAGGACATCAAGCTAAACAAAGAAGTCCATTAATAAGAAATCCAAACAGGGACACGGCATCAAGGTAAGAATCGAGCTGAACACCAACTCCAGTGATCATCAATGTTTATACTGCATTCCAAGCGTTAATCCAGGTGTATCCTACTTGGAATCAAGTATGTTTTGGTTTACACTGGATTTTTGACTTTCTTCATTGTTTTCACACTTTTATAGAATGGTGCTAACTGGCCAAAGTTGGCTCCTGCTGTGCACATATGCAGTAATGATTTTCTGTTATCTTTATAAATATAAATATAAATGAAGGGCTTTATTTACTGACTGAAAAAAAGAAATAAATTCTGAAACATTAAAATACATATTTTAGCATGGTGTGCAGGAAAAGTATGTATGCAACCAGAATGAACTACTGATATATAAATTCATAAAAGTCCTATGATTTGACCACACATGTTTAAGCATAAACATTATGTTTGTGTTGCTCTGGTGCACTTTATTATATTGTATAGTTGGATGTGTGTATATATCATGTAAAACTGTGACTTGAGCGTGTAACAAAAGTAATTTCCCTCTGGGATTATTAAAGTATTTCTGATTCTGATTCTGAAAACAAGCTTTTTCTTTATTGTGTGATGTCCTCACGTCCCCTAGCAAAAAGTAGTATACTTGAAGTAAATTCTATTAAGAATACTTAAGAATATAAGTTTAGAAAGTATACCGAACAATGTACTTTTAGTGTACTTGAAGTATTACTAAATGAATACTTCTTCGAACTACATTGGGACATTTTTAAGTTTACAATAAAGTAAACAATAGTATAGTCAAGTACACTTGACTATACTATTGTTAAGTATATGAAATATAGTTTAGAAAAGTGCACTGGCTTATTTAAAGTATGAAATTAGTGCACTTTTAGTATACTTGAATAAACTACTTTTTGCTAAGGAACTAGAAATTTCCCTCAAGCAAAGTAGTAATACTTTGTCATGTTTTTAATGTAATAAAACTATTCCTGAAAGTATATTTTTCTCAAAATGTAATATTTATCATCCACTCCAGGTTATGATTAGTTACTTTAGGCAAGAATAGGGATATCATAAACCTCTTCATTTAAATTTGTACTCCATATGCTTCAACCTCAAAGAATACTTTATATTTAAAGTCATCTTCTAAACTTTGCAGGTTTCCAAGATCTACCCTACAATGAGTACGTCCACTAACTCCTCTTTTGTGAAGCTGTATGATATCTTGGCGGAGTCCCGCTGTGCTAACATCACCCTGGGTTCATCAATCCTCTATGCCTTCACTGGGACCAGACTACTCTTTGTCATTCCTAGCTCTATCTTCCTCCTATTCCTGGGTCATCAACAGTGGCGACGGCAGTGCTTAATTAAACCGCTGAGCCACTTTGACCTGTTCACCTACCACGTAGCCCTCATCCAGCTCATCTGGGGTTTGGGAACAGCTTTATTTTATGGAGCCTCACATCTCCCTACCGTAAGGTTAGCTGGGTTGTACCTCATGAACATCGTGTTTGTTGGAGAAAACTTTTTTCACATTTTTACCTGTTTAGATCGCTACCTGGCTGTTGTTTATCCAGTTACATTTAAGAGACTACAAAATATCCATGGGGTGATGATCAGAAACATCAGTACTTTATTTGCTTGGTTATTCTCCTTTCTGTGGAGCCATCTAACAGTTATATACTACCCTAAATTCCCAGTAATCCAGTTCTCCTGCTTTCAGTCCTTCTCTATGGTCATGGTCTCTTTCTGTAGCTTTTCTGTTCTTCGTGCTTTAAGACATCCTGGTCCTGGGAAAAAAGACAAGGATAGAAAACATGTCGATCAAACAAAACGACGGGCTTTCCGTACAGTTCTGGCCATTACAGGTGTGGTATTCTTGTGGTTTTTGGTGTTCCTCATTGTCACATCTCTCAGGGAATCAGACGTCCTTGGCACCAGAGTCAGCTGTTTGATGCATAAGTCCATAGTATGGTTTAGCCTCCCCAGCAGTTTGGTATTGCAACTGCTGTACTTTCATAAGAAAGGTAAACTGAAGCTTTCATTTCCCAAAAAAAGCTGCCATGCCTAATACTGAATTCAAGTTGTTTTGCGGATTTATAGGAAGACTTTTAAAGAATATTGTTAGTTGCATTTAATTGAACTGTAATAAACTCCTTATAAAATTAGGACTGGTTTGGTTTAAGTTATTTAGGTTACCAAAGAATGTAATGTCATGTTGATATAGATTAAACCTCGGTAGATCTGAGAGATTATAAGCATTGTTACTAAGTCATGCAATTAAACACTGCTAGATACTAAAAAGCAAAAGTAGTATTTAATTGTAGTTTTAATTGCTGATGTGAAAAAGGGATAAATATTTAATTCTAGTACAAATGGTCACAACATTCTATACAGCTAATTTTATTTATATATCTCCAATTGATAACACACGTCATCTCAAGCACTTTTCATTTATAAAACATTCTGACATAAAACTCCTAAATATCAGTTGTTCTTTGGTATCCTCTCAGAAGCTACTTGTATGCTTGCCTGTGTAAATTATCAGTCATCTGAGTCATGGCAACCACAAACAGGCTTAAATTGGAAATTGGAAGGCAACCAGACTGTTGCTCAGTTTTTTTGAAGATATTTCGACACCTACCCAGGAGTCCCAGATCAAACTCTAGTGCTGATGTGTTTATGCAGCTTGGAGGTCCATCCTCCTGTACACATTCCAAGTCAGATGCAAATCAGATAGCCACCCCTTGTTCTTCTGGATTATTGGAGCCCTTTGTTGTGCATGAGCTATGTGATTGGCCTTTTCAATCATAATGCCAGTGCAGAATGTTTGGATGCTTAAACCGCAATCCTCCCACTCCGTTCAGTAATGGCTTTTCTCTTTTCACAATGATGGCTACTTTGACCCCTCTTTTAAACCATTTGTCCTCTCTACACAACTTCTGAACACTTTGGTCTTCAAAGCCGTGTCCTTTATTCTTGAGGTGTTAGTGTACAGCGGAATCTTTCCCAGAGCTACGCGCTCTCAAATGTCGTGCCATGCATTTCCCCTAAAAAAAAATCTGCATCCGTTTTTGGCATTTACTTAATCATATTTAGCTACTTTAACACAATTGTTTTATGTCCTAACCTGCTAACATCAAACAATTGTTTGATGTTAGCATTTGGTTCCTCCAATATCCTCGCTGCACTGGAACGCATAAACAACACAGCTAAGCTTAGGTTTGGGTGTTTTGTCTTTAGGATGAACCAGTGTTTATCTGAGTGGGTTGTTGGGTTAAAATTCCCTGGTAAGTTGTCTTTAGACCAAATCCTTCTGTATTTTGCATAAAGACCACATATTGAATTACAATGGATTTGTGTATCTCTGTTTTATCTAATCTTGAATTTAGTGTACATTGCATTTTTAGTATTAGTTTCACAAGTAAATATGTATAGTTTTACCTCAGCAGATAGCCAAGCTGATGTCACGCTGTTTATTATTTACCACTGATATATAGCCTCATATTCAACCACATAACTGTTAACAATATCTATGTTAATGATACACACAGAAATGTGACCTTTTTACACTTTCATTATATCAGATGAAAGATTTTTTTTTATATACGTTAGGATTATTTTTACTAATGATGTGTGAGTCTTTCAAACCCTAATAAAACCTGCATGGGGTACTGTGTAATAGTTGATTATGGCTTGAGCAATGGGTGTCTCCTCCTTTGCAAACGTGTATGATGCAATGATGTGATGATGTGTAAGATGTATTTTGGGGCCACTCCACGAGAGTTGGTAACGACTGCCTTCTGTAACACTAAGAAACTTTTCTGGTCTGAGTAAGATTACAATTTCTATCAAATTCTTTTGTCATGTTTCATGGTTATAAAATAAATATACATTATGAAGTGTTACTTAAAGAGTTTGTCATGAGTGATCTCTTCTCAGGAAAGAATCGGGGAGGGAAAGCTTAGCCAAACTTTATATTAGTGTACAAATAGTAAAGTTGACTTTCACAAGGGCTGTATGGGTTCAGCAGGCCAGGGGCTTTCTGTATGGAGCGGTATGTGCTCCTCATGCATGTGAGATACTCTGGTATCCAGCCACAGCTCAAACACAGGACTAAATTAGACAGTTTAATTTATTTTTAGGTGTACATGTGTGCATGATTGTTTGCCTGATTGTGTCAGCCAACCTGCCAACTGTGTGCCCTGCGTCTCTTTCAATGACTGCATCTGCAACATCCCCGTCTGCAATGCATCATGTCAGCCTTTCTTTCCATATTCAAATTGTCGGTTTCGGTGAGATTCAGCTTAACATCAACTGTGAACTACTATATGATATGCATCGATAATATGGTATTTGGGTAAACGATCTGACCTTTATGTGAAATTAATTACATAGCTGTCAAATTTTATGGTGATGTGATTCTTCAGGCAAATTAACAGCTTCAAAAAGTTTCTACATCAATAAAACCAAAGGTGAGAGGGCTCTTTTTTTTCTTTCTTTCCTGCTCTAGTTTGATATTAAACAGATAAGTACTAATGACATTCCAGAAAAAAAACATGTCTTTATTAATCTCTTAAAACTTGTCTCTCTCTTGTTTTATTTTAGTAATGATTACAGATTTGATTATTCCAGTTTGATATTCGAATCCCTGCTCTAACTTTATTAAAAAGTCATTAAATGAGTTAACTACACTTTGTACGAGTGTTTCATTTTTATAAGGCAGAAGACAAAAAAATAATGAAAGAAAACAGTGGATTTAGAATTTCCATCAGATGAACTTTGCAATGTATAGAGATATTTTGACTCAAATTTCAAAATGATGATAACACTTGGCTTGAGTTGTACACAAGTTTCAAAGGATGAGGTAAGAGTCTTATTACCAATAAATGTTAGGGTTAGTTCAGCACCTCATCACATCTTAAGGAAACCAAAGCACTTTACACTATGTGAGGTCATTCACCCAGAAAAAGATGTGTGAATGGGTGTTATTGACCATCAAAAGCAAACCAGTTGAAGTGTCTTGGTCAGGCTTAGATCAATAAAGCCAGGCAGAGCAGTGGCTTGGACTGGCAACTCATTGATTTGCGGATAAGACCCTACCCTCTGAGCCACCTTTAAATTGGATGTTGCTTTATCTGTGGCATAGAGCAGTGATACCCAACCTCTGAGTCGCACTAATAGAATATAAAACCTTCATTATTTTTGGCTGATTTATTTTCTCAATATAAATGGTGTTTTCTTTTGTTGAGCTTTTTTAATTGATTTGCTCTGATGCTGTTACCCCAGCAGGGAATGGTAAAACAGATAACACTTTCAAACTTATAGAAGATATGGAGCATCTTGCTGCAAACAGGAGTCAGTCTGGTACTGAAGGTCTGGGGTGTACAGGGTAAAAAGGGATGGTGGACAATATTATCCCCATCATGCTCCTGTGGTGTTAACTACTTGATTAGACATTTATTCCTTCAATTTCACCAACGGTGGTCTGTTTGTCAGCTAAACTTTGATCTATGCAATTGTTGATGCCTTCACCTGAGTTTTCCAGAGTTTAAGTCAGACTGAATCACATTAAATCCACTGGAGACATCAAAGAACACAGTGATGTCCCACAGCTTATCTTCAAACAGAGTTCATAGCACCAATGCAAAACACATGTCATCTCAAGGCACTTTACAGGATCAATTTAACTAGATCAAACAGAGTCCCCAACTTCTTTACCAGTCTAACACTCAAAAAAGTTATGTGTGAGGGATTTGCACAAACCAGCCAGAAAACCACTGAAATTTAAAAAAAAAGAAGTCTTAATTTATTCCAAAAATGTTCAAGAAAATGATAAACTGGGTCCAAAAAGAGGTCAACAAAACAGAATTCAATTCAGGCTTTAGCTTAAAGAACTCAAGCACAAACTGACCTAACAAACAGGAAATGAGGGAAACTTATATAGTCGCTGATCAGACTACTGTTGACACACAAGGGGAGTAACTGACTAACAAACTAATACAACTTATGTAAACAGATAAATACTGGCCAGACACTAAATACTTTTTAAATTTAACTAATTTATAAAGTTGCCCAAACTAAGAATATTTAAACAAATGATAAACAAATTTCCCTTCCCATTACAAATGGTTTGATCCGCTGATTAGCCTGCAACCAATTGAGGAAAGCTGGAGCTCATTGCAGCCCTCCACCAGCAGATCCCAAGGAAACTGGCAACTCAAGGAAGAAAGAAATTAATCAATTGCTTCTTGATGAAAAAACAACAACCTGACAAATAAAGTTAACTAAATGTGTGCTCTGCAAAAAGTTAACTTAAAGTCAGGCTAATGAAAATATATGAAATGTGCAACTGATTTTGAAAATGAAAAATGTAAAAGTTACCACACAGCTTCAGAGTGTGACAGCAGGCTGTCACAGTATGTCTTAGAAAAAGGTATCTTATTTGTCCCAGCAGCCAACAGAATCACAACTGTTCGGGAAACACGTAAGATAGAGCTGCAACAATACCACAGGAAACTGAAACTAGCTTATTTCTTCAAAGCTCAACCATTCGCTTCACCTTCCCAGCGGGAACAGCCAATAAAATGCATCCTTTAATTTTTCAACTAATACATCAGAATCAAAGGGACCTACGTCACCTCAGACTTGTCATGATTTTACAAAGTTCAGACCCAAATGCAGAAAACCAAACAGGGAGACCAGGGAAAAGGTGTAACAGGTTTTATTGAAGAGGTAAAACAGAGAGAGAAGTGTTGCTCTGAACACTGCTGAACCGGAACTGAAAAGT